CTGTTCCCTGAGTCCGTGTACAACCATTCAGTCTTCGCCATCCTTTCTCCTTCACTTATATTTTTTACTTTTTTCTTCTTTTTCTTTAATGTTGCACTTTTTTTCACAGCAGTCTCACACCTCTTTTCCTTTTCTTTTATCTATCTATTTTGCTTAAACACTAAATTGGTACATCGTGACTCGCAGATTTGTTCGCATCTCAAAAATTAGTTACGAATTAATGTTCATTCTCAAACTCAACGTTAAGTTAATAAATGGAAGTTATTTAAAAAATTACATATTATTTTTGATTTGGAAGATGTGAATATAATAATTTTGGAAGATTTCTGAGTATAAATCTTAATATAAAAAATAATATTAAAAAATGGGATGATTCTACGTAATAAAATGAATAAAAATTATAAGGTGCTATTTTTACATACAAAGATCTGTTTTTAAAAATTAATTTTCAAAGTAAGAACAGTATGTACTTTATATTTTTTAAAAATTTAATTAAATTAAAAGAATATAACATAATTTTATGTACGTTCTTTTTATTTTTATAATTGAATAGTTTTTAAAATATTATAAATATTCAATAATTTTAAAAATATTGTAAAATCATAAATATATTTTTTAATTAAAATATTAATTACCAAATCCGCATAATTTCCGAATATTTCCAAACTTAAATTTCTAGAATTAAAATTCATATATAATACGTAAAAATTTCACTCTATTTTTTCAATTTATTTTTATCTAGAATCATTTAGTTGAATTTTTTTATCAAAAAATAATTTTTTTTATCAAAAAAAATTTTATATAATTTGAATTATGATAAATTATCGATGAAGAACATATCCATGAGTCACCGCATAATAAATCAATGTTTAATAAAAACATTGAAAATTAATGAACTATCATCACACATTATAGAATTAACTTTCGTGTTTCAACGATATCTGTTTCAACTTCTCATTATAGAAGAACTTAGAAGAACAAAACTTATATTTTATATCTAAAAGCTTATTAATAAAATTAAAAAATTATTATTAAAATTAATTTTTTTAATACGATAATTATTAAAAGTATTTTAAATAATTATTCAAATTATTTTCTACAATAGAGAAGCTGAATTATATAAAATCGCATCGAAAACTCTATGAAAATAAATTTCAACATAATTTTACTTCGATTTACTTCATACTTCCAAAATATATACATTTCTCTCTCTTTCTGTTCATTCATTCCTTCATTCTCTCTCTCTCTCTCTCTCTCTCTCTCTCTCTCCCTCTCTCTCT